GATTTTGTTTGTTTGTTTTGTTGTTGTTTTATTTAAGGCTTATGTGTTATGTCAGTTATGAGACTGTTCACTTTGAATGAGTGTGACTGCAGAACCTCAATGAACCAACAGGGGGAAACATTACACCTACTACTGTTACAGGAATTTTACTCCAATCTAAAAAAAAATGCTCAACATACAATTAAGCTACAATTTGTGATTGTAAAAGTAGCTCATGAAAGCTAAAAACACCTGACAGGTCTCTACTCTTTTTTTTTTTTACGTTTGCTTTGAGAAAAGGAAAATAGAATTACACAATAGTAAGGGAACAACCTTTAAATATATAGATTTTTTTTTTTACATTAAAAATGACAACTCTTATTTATAACAGTGAACAGTGGGCTATCATTGTTCACTGTTGTAAATTAGACCTAAACTCAAAAGGCTAATGTTTTAGTCGATTTTACACAAGTCTGTGGTTATTTTTTTTTTAAATGAAAGAAAAGCCCCTGACATCTCAAGCATGACCTAACTTCATACTGCTGACCCTTTTCATTTAGCTTTTTTATTTTTATTTTTTTAACTTTGCACAGTCCTGGTTGAATTAATGTATAAAGCTCCTTAGCCATTCCTAATGTCTTCATATAATGAGGTAGGATAATGAGAAACAGGTGCAGTGACTTGTTGAAATATGTGCAAACATGCGCAGAGAAAGCAAAGACAGTTTGCACAATTCTAAAGCACTTAAAAGTCATTTTTTTGGTATGACCACCTAAAGAAATGAGGGATAGTTCAAGACCTTTATAAAGTACTGTATTTCAGCTCATCAACAAAGATTGGATTGCAGAAAAAGAAATTACTAATGCATAATTTGACATTATGAGAGTTAATTTATGAGAGTTATTATAGGAGTTAAATAGTCACCGAAGTTTGCTACTGGATGCAGCAATAGATGCATGTCAATAAACATTCTAGTGCTTTTTAATGGATCCTGTGTCCCTGAATCACATGTTCACAGCCATATCACCAGGCTTCAGCGCTGATGTACTTAAATTCTTGATTTTGTATCAACTGAATAACCTAAGATTGTTGGAAATCATGAACTGAATTGCAGAGCAACAAAGAGCGTCCCCCTGTAACAATATTTATTTATCCTTGCGTGGTAATGTGTGCACACATTCTGAGAACACAAAAGGATAGCGACCATGCTATTGTTTAACCGAGACAAGCATGGTGTTTTCATAGTGACAGACATCTGGTTGTTTCTTGCCATTTCTTTCTTGCTAATATAAAAAAAATATTTAAAAAAGTTTGTGTTTCAGTTACATGAAAAAATAGACATGTGAAACAACATGAGAAGTGTGTGCATCTTTAACTCAATGTGTGACTTCTATCAAGAAACATTTTAGAAGCACCGAGAGCCTCAGTGTCATGAAATGATCTGCCCAGACCTAACGACACGCCTGGTTTCACCATACTAGGAGAAATCTTTATTGTACCCAGAGACTATATAAAGGAAGTGAAACACACTCACAAAAGGTCAACATAAAAACTGCAGTCACACATGCAGTTTTTTTCTGTTATGTCTTGAAATTTTAGTTTAAAAAAAATCAGTCAGTTAAAACCAGACTGATTAACATGCAGTCCTGATAGTTATAATTAAAACAAGTGTACTATCTGCATAAACTATTTTACAGTGTTATGCAAAAGTTTGGGCACCCCTGATAATTTTCATGATTTTCCTTCATAAAACACTGTTTGGATGAGCAATTTCATTTAAATATATCATATAGCAGACGAACGCAGTGATATTTGAGAAGTGAAATGATGTTTTTAGGATTTACAGAAAGTGTGCAATAGTTACTTAAACTAAATTAGGCTGGTGCATAAATTTGGGCACTAAATCTGAATCACATGATTAGTTCATTACCAGGCGTCTGGAGAACTGCAGGAGCTAATTTAGCCATTTAAATCAGCTGTGTTGGTTCAAGGACACATCTAAAACCTGCAGGGACACCGGCCCTCGAGGCCTGGAGTTGCCCACCCCTGCCCTAAACTATGATGTTGAACAATCTTTGTTTTCAGGTCATTCGAGAGTTGTTTTAAGGCTGCCACTCAGAGAAGATGCAAAGAGGAGAAAAACTTGCAATTGGCCAGCTTAAATACCCTTTCTTATAAGTGGATTCACCTGTGTATGTAGGTCAAGGGTCAATGAGTTTACCAAACAAATTTTGTGTTCCAATAATTAGTGCTAAAGGTATTCAAATCAATAAAACGTCATGGGTGCCCAAATTTACGCACCAGCCTAATTTTGTTTAAGTAACTATTGCACACTTTCTATAAATCCTATAAACGTTTGACTTCCCAAATATCATTATGCTTGTATGCTATATGATATATTTAAATGATCCAAAAAAACAATGATTTATGAAGAAAAATCCTGAAAATGATCAGCGGTGCCCAAACATTTGTATACCACTGGATTTGGTTTCCTCACTGAATTTATTGTTACTTAGAAAATGAAATAGAGGGAAAAGTTTCCTGACTGAAAGGGAAAACACTGAGTGAAATACATTTTGATTAATTTATCAAAAGAAAGTTTCACTTAAAAAGATCTCTTTATAATGTCTATTTTGTTAATGTTTTTTTTTATTCTTTTTATTCTTTTTTTGAACCATCCTGTTAAGTAAAAAAGTGCTCAGTGAATTAAGTTTATGCCTTCTTTGTTGTACTTTGCTAAACCTCACCATACTGCACCCCAGCTGGTTAGACACCCATGAAACGAGCGCAAATTTCCTGTGACAGAACCACACCAGCTATAATGCATCATTTTCACAGCTTGTTGCACACATTTAGTGCTGCTAATAATAATCAGTGAGTGGAAAGTTTCAGTAATGTCAGACAGTCATTTTGAATGTAGTAAAATTAAAAACTGCAGATTCTGCACTGATAGAAGCAAACTCTTACTCTTAATGAGGCTCACTGAGCATTATGAGTGATACATTAACAGAAGAAGAATCCTCATAAAATATAGAAGGATGTACCCGACTTACATACATTTTCATGGACACACAAAAACAGACTAAGACAGTAATACACAAATAACAGCTGGAACAGACAAAAACTCATCTGTTAGACAAAACAACTCCTGCATCACAGAACAGAGATGGAACTTAACACCTCTAAGAGGCATGCAGTGAAACTGTCTGAATAATACAAGGCTGTAAAATACCTGACTTTATTTTGCGTACTTTTTCTTCCCCAGCTCTAAAAATGGAGGCAAAAACTGGTTATGTGTCCCCAAGTGGCCTCTCCCTACCTCCTTTTTGTTAAAGTTAAGTTGAGCTGCTGGTTTTGGCATTGGAGGTTTTGGACTTTGGCCTTTTAAAAATTTGTGACATTAATGAATTAATATTTCATACCATCAATGATATTACTAATTTCTTTGTTTGTTTTGTTTTTGTTGGCTTTCTTTTGTTTGTTTTTTTAAATCTGTTTTCCTTTGTCTCATCATTTGATTTACTTCAAGAATAAATAAACTATTGGATTTTTTATTTCACATCTACTGTCTGCTTTGCTATAAATATAAAGGCTTGGGCTTGATAGGCTTGAAACAAATAGTCATCACTGTCTGACCTGCTTAGTTTATTGATACTAATTGTTCCACGCCCAGTAACATTTCTTTTTAAGTAATGACCCAACAAGTCAACTAAAAGTATTTAATGTTTAATAATTATAAAGATGTATACATTAATAATGATAATAAAACATGGAAGTGAAACAAATGATGAACAAAGTTAAATTGAAAAGAGAAACTGCTCCATTGCAACCATATAACATTTGTTCAGAGCTTCAACAGAATAAAAATGCAGAAAACACTGACACTGGTAGTATTTAAATATAGAGGAAACTTAAGACTTGATGCATTTTCTCAAAATATTCATCAGATTTAATAGTTTGTATTTCTCTGATAGGAAATCACCTTTAGCTATATTGACACGGACCTTTTGTGGTTGTGGAATAGATACAATCAACTCCTGTTGGTTCAGTGTGTCGAAGTCGCTTTGAAAACTTGACTTGGCCGTACTCCACCTCTGGCTTTGCCTCCACCCTTTGCTCTACTTGCTTCCCCTGCTGCTGCAGCATAACCCTGACATCAGCATACGTGACTTCCTGGTCATCATCTTTCTCTGCCTCTGCAGAGAAAATAAATTGAGCAAATAAAGTCAGTGAGTCATCAAAACAATAGTTTGACGTTTCATTAAACTTGATTTCTTAACAAGAGTTAAATAAATTAGACACACATATATATTACTGATCACTTTGAGAATGAAGTCGAAATGTGCAAATTACATTTCTTGTTTCAAAACAATTGCCACGGCTGCTATACCCTCAACAAAATACCTGGTTTAGATGAGTTAGTGAAACAAACTGATCAGCCGTCTTGTGATACAACAAACATGCGCTTTATTGCACAAGGGTGGAACCATTGCTATCCTTGCATCTGGCCATTGCCAACCATTTAAACCCAGTTAAAGACAGCGGGTATCAAAAAGATCAAAAAGAATCACAACTTTCTTGGTAATATTAAATAAAGGAAAATATTTTTTGTCAGACTGAAGTAAGTTAAAGGAAGTTTTGTACCTTTTTGTTTTGCAGAGAGTTTGTTCTGTTTTTTCCTCTGAGCACAGATGACAGCTACACCCACAAATAAGAAAAATACCAGTGCTGAGAGAACAGCACCGATCAGGGGCAAAGCTGCTTCTCCTAAAATGAAAGACATACGAAAACAAAACAAAAAAAACTCAGTAAACATGTTTTTTGTTTGTTTTGTTTGCTGGTTTTACAAATGTATTTGGAAATACAGTGGAAAAAAAGAGCCATTCACATTAATGTCCCAGGTGCAAACAATGGGGAAAAAATGCAGCAAACAATTAGATGAGTTATGACATTTGTACAAAGTGGTCATAATCAATACAAACCGAATATTACCTTTTGTTTATAATAATCTCACTCACCACAGGTAGATATCTTCTCTTCTTTGGAGACATTACTGACGTTGTTCCTGACTGAGCAGACCAGATGTCCTGAGACGTGCTGTTTCAGATTTATGATGTCATCCTGATTATTTACAGAAAGGAGTTCAGCATCTGTCAGTGTGCGTCCATCCAGAGTCCAGCTGTACTGAGGACTGTCCCCTCCCTCAGAGAAGCAGGACACCCTCCTCTCTCCCTGGGACAGACACTCAGAAACCAGCAGGACAGAGGACACAGGAGCTGAGAGAAACACACACCCAAATGACTTATGTTACTATTATAGGATCTTGATAATAATTTTCTGATCACCTGCTAAATTTGCTAGTTTGCTCACTTACGGACACTCAAAGACCTGCAGGACATGATTAGTCTCTAATTCTTATGGTAGTTTTATTATAATGAAGAGAGAACCAATAATCCAGAAAAAAACACATTACATAAAAGTTAGAATTTGATTTAAAATGATTGAATGTCATTCATAAGTATTTGATCTTCAAGCAAAGCATGACTTAGTACTTGGTGGAGAAACCCTTCTCAGCAAGCACAACAGTAATTCATTTCTTACAGTTGGTCACCAGGTTTGCACACATCTCACAAGGGGGTTTTGGTCAACTCCACTTAACAGAAACTCTCTAAATATTTTAGGTTTGTTGGCTGCTACTTGGAAACTGAAAGCTTCCTGTCATTCCACAGATATTTTACAGTAGTGAGGTCTGGATACTAGATAGGCACTTCATGACCTTAACATTCTACTTTAGCCACTACTTTGCTGCCTTGGTTGTATGTTTTGGGGCATTATCTTGCTGACAGACCTATCTCCTCCAACACTTTATACATTTTATTCATGTGCTTTTTTCTGAAATTTTTTTGGTTCAAAAATTCACACAAAATGTGTGTGAACAGTGAATCTCTGGGCCAATAAGCACATGTTCAAATGTAACAAGTTGTGAGTTGTATTAAACATATCTGTTCTCAGAGTGTATCAACTACATAAAATTGTCTGTCTTTGAAATTCACTGTTCCCTAACCACAAATGAGAATATCAGTGCATAATTTAGTATTTGTAATTCAAGATTCTGCTTTTTCATTAATTGAATAATATCATTTTTAATCCAATGTTAAAAAAAATATAAAAAAAAATAGGTTATTTTCCACACATAAAGATATTTATAAATGTCTTTATTATATTCAACAATAGCCTTACAGTACTCATTTAAACCATGTGTTTGACCTGAATTCCAATTTTTGTTTCAAACTCAAACCAATTATGCTGTGTGCATTCATTTTTTGTTTGCATAAAAACATCTGCAAGCATTTCTTTGTGTGTATCTTGTAGGACCTTTAATCATGCTCTACAATTTTTATTTTGATGTAATAATTTTAAGTTTCTGCCTATTTGCTTTGTTTGGTCAAATTGTATTCAATTAAATTGTATATAGTTTCACTACAACAAGAGTATATATTACATTCTCAAATTAAGAACAGGGAAAGTCCAAAATGCATGGATCTGAAATTTATTGGGATATATTATATACATAGTAAATAAAAATTGTAATTCGTGCTTTGTTTTCCAACAAGGAAAACTTACCTTGAAGAAACAACTGTAGAGTCCGCTCACCTGATGATCTTCCATCTGAATTAAAGGTTTGAAGGGTATAATTACCACTGTCATTCCTGCTGATGTCATTGATCCTAAATGTTCCATTACTGGGAAAAAAGAGATATCTATGTTCTATGCTATTTGAATAAAACGTATTATTTCTGACAGTTAGTATTTTTGATGAATTCTTTGACAGATCATATCTAGGTATTTCTGCAGTGCTGTCCATCAGTTGAAGGTCCACAGTTCCTCCCAAAGCTCCATAACACTGAGCTCCATCCTGTCTGCCATCACAGGATGTTCCCATACCTGAAAATTTTGAAACATTAATAAATATTTGTCTCAGTTCACACTATGTGAACAAGCATTTTTTTGGCATGCAGATTAACATTACACAGGTCTGTGAGTGAAGCACATTGTGTTAAGGCTCAGCTAGCAGCACTATTTTAGAATTAGTGTCACGTTTTGACATTTTTGTCTGGAAGTCCAAACAGTAGAATGATTTTAATTTAGCTGCAGCTTGTACATGCTGGCTTATCATTACTACTGAATCATCTACTGTGATACTTCAGATAGTACAACAGAGTATTATAGCCACATTAAGAAAAATATATATATTGGTGATCAATTATAGTTTTTGCTACAGTTGCAAGACTCTCTACTAAATGCCTGGTGTAGATGAGTTAGTGAAACAAACTAATCACCGTATTACATCACATAGCATACATCCTCTTTATTGGACAAGGGTGCAACCATCGATAGCCTTGCATCTGTCCATTACCAGCCATTTCCTTTCCAGCCAACTCCAACAAGTTGGATTGTTTTTCCATCAGATACAACTTTCTGCACCATCTTTTCAAAGTCCTTATACTGATCACCACAAACCACTGTTTATGAAATAAAAGGGGAATCATTTCCTTCCTCGATTCCAAGGTATGATTTCACTAACTCAGTGAGTATAGCTAGTCTAGCGGATTGTCTTAAAACAAGTGTACTCTCCTCATTTGGACTTGAAGTAGATTTTCCTCTTTAATCTCACAATTTGGACATTATTCTTGAAATAATCAGTAATATTTTTTTCTTAATGTGGCTCTAAGCACTCCACCATAAAATAGAGCCATTTTAAATGGTTGTGGTCTTTCTGCAAAATGTAAAGGTGCCTGCTGCGACAAAAATGAACAGTTCCGACACTTTGATGTTTCAGTTAACTTTCCCCCATAATTATGACAAGTTGTTGTTAATGTGAAATCTGTTCATATATACCATAGTTGTAGTAGATACCCAAAATAAAAAATATGATATATTCTAATAAACAGTGTTTGCACTGATATTACACTGATAGTGTCTGAAAACTGCATTTAAAACACATTTATATTGTAGATAACTGAGGGCTTTTCCAAAATCTAAATAGATTAAATAAATAAAAAATTCTAAAAATGGTACATCTTCCATCATATTTTATTATTAATAAAACTGTGATGGAGCTAATTCAGGTGATTAAAATTAGTTATATATTATTTAAACAGTTCTTCTTCCATAACTGTATGTACTTTTAGTGCATATCCACATGAAATTGATATCAGAATTTGATATTATTATTACAAGGAACCAAACTGTGTAATTTAAAAACAGTTAAAGCATTCTGTAATTGTAATTATATTCAACAGATCTATTGTTGTTTTTTTCTGTGTTTGAGATTCTTCATCCATAAGAAAAAAGTCAAACCTTTTCACTGACTTTACTGGATCCCATAGCTGTAAAACATGTTATTCTATTTTGAAATGTAGAATTAAGTATTAATTTTAAAATGTTACGTGGCTCACCATGAGACACTCGAAAGAACAGCAACAATACAACAGCTTCCATGTCTGCTCAAGGTTCAGCTTCTGTTGATCCAGACAGTGGCTTTCAAGCTTCAGTTCAATGTATGCTGCTCTGAACAGACTGCTGTGTCCTGTTAGTGAACCGCCTCAGAGAGCAATGCGCAAAACCCTTTGTGTTAGGTTTTATTGATGAGGGGATGGAAGGAGGTGGCATCAGTGTTTCTTCCTTTTTAGCTTTCAAGAAGAGAGGGAAACATCTCATTGATACTAAAAGAGGTTTTGAGAATAATTTCTTAAATTCTTAAGAAATCAGTTCACCTGTATTACAGAATTTAGTTTTTAGTTATAATAATTTAGTTTTTATTAATAATAAATTTTCTCTCTCTTTCAAAAAACGTCACTCCGGATGACCACTAACTTTTTAAACACTATGCAATGAATTGATATATTTTATACTTATACAAATAATTACAGGTCATCTTTAAAGCTTGGCAAATGTCAAGATTTAATAGTACAAATCTTAAAGACTTATTTTTTGCATTAAAGTCCAATAAGCCACTAAAACACAGTTAATCCAGTAATAGCATGCTGCAAAATAGCACCATCTCTTGGTAAAGAATAATGTCAATGCCGCTGAGGCCAAGGGGCAGAATGGACCTAATATACAGATGCAAACAAAGAGGCTCAAAAAAATGGCGTGAATAACATTTATTTACAAAGATGTAATTTTTAAATATAAATGACAAGTACTAGTGCACGGGAGCAGGGAACTGTTTACAGGGGCTATGTATATCAAGCTATGTATATCAGTGAAGGCAACAATAGATCCTCAGCACTTAGCTCTTGCATTTATATACAGTGTTATGCAAATGTTTGGGCACCCCTGATAACTTTCATGATTTTCCTTCATAAAACATTGTTTGGATTAGCAATTTATCAAATAGACGAACACAGTGATATTTGAGAAGTGAAATGACGTTTATAGGATTTACAGAAAGTGTGCAATAGTTACTTCAATTTTATTTATATAGCACCAAATCACAACAAAAGTCGCCTCAAGGCGCTTTATAGATACAGAGAAAAACCCAACAATCATATGACCCCCTATGAGCAAGCACTTTGGCGACAGTGGGAAGGAAAAACTCCCTTTTAACAGGAAGAAACCTCCGGCAGAACCAGGCTCAGGGAGGGGCGGCCATCTGCTGCGACCGGTTGGGGTAAGAGAAGGAAGACAGGATAAAGACATGCTGTGGAAGAGAGAGAGGTTAATAACAGATATGATTCAATGCAGAGAGGTCTATTAACACATAGTGAGTGAGAAAGGTGACTGGAAAGGAAAAACTCAATGCATCATGGGAATCCCCGGCAGCCTACGTCTATTGCAGCATAACTAAGGGAGGATTCAGGGTCACCTGGTCCAGCCCTAACTATATGCTTTAGCAAAAAGGAAAGTTTTAAGCCTAATCTTGAAAGTAGAGATAGTGTCTGTCTCCCAAATCCAAACTGTGCGTCTGGCAGCACATATGAACTAGCTAGTCATTGGGAGACACTCAGAAAGGCCGGACAGCCCTGATCCTCAAGGACCCCCAGAAGGGACTGGTCCCATTCAACTACCAGCAAGGCAGCCGGTAGTTGGATGGGACCAGGCCATTTAAGATGAACAGGCACATGGCAAGAATACCAGAGGCACAAAACATTAGCTCCTGGTAGACCGAGCAAACAGCCAAGATTGCAAGACTAGGCTAACCAACCTGTGCACTGGATTGATTACAAGAAGGTTTATGACTCAATGCCCCACACCTGGATTTGTCCTGCAGACAGACAAAATGGTGTTGGCTAACCAACCGGAAATAGTGGATGTAGAAACAGAAGAAGACAGCCGTAGTGATAGATGTAGCGATGACAGTAACATCCGAAAGAAGGAGAATGAGAAGTTTAAGAAATACCAAGGGCTTAGAGAGGAGTTTGAGAAGATGTAGGGGGTTAAGGTAACAGTGGTCCCAGTGGTAATCGAAGCACTAAGTGTAGTGATTCCCAAGCTAGGTGAGTGGCTCCAGCAGATCAATATTCAAGATCTCTGTCCAGAGAGAAAAAAAAGAAGAAAAAAAAGAATACTGCTAGCATAATGGACAGGTTTTTAATGGGGGCTCTCACATAAAAGCAAAGCAGAGGTTGAAGCATTGCAAAATATGCTTCCAAACCAACTCCCTTCCAAGCCAAAGGCTAGAAAATATGATGATCCATATCTTGTATTGGGCTTCACCTGCACAACGACGGTGCCAATGTAGGTATACTGACAGAATTTGTTTCCCCTGCGTTGGGAGCACGTGCTGGGCTGTCCAAATCACGGACAAACAGTATCCCACATTATGGATTTTCAGTTCACAAACACTTCTAATAATGACATTTTGGCAATGTTGTAAAATAAAGGGGGGCCCAGCAAAAAAAAAAGTTACAATCGAACCAGAGAGAAAAAAAGTACACTTTCTCCAGTCTGGAATCATTGTAATCTCATAATGTCAAATAAGATATATGTTTTCCGCTCTATGCTTATGTATTCCTGCCTCATCAGTACCATGTGGAAGAGTGTTTTTCCAAAGCAGGAGAACTGATCTCAAACAAAAGCTTCTGATTTCTTAATAAAAATCTGCCTTTTCCCCTTACACACACAAGTACACAAGCACACAGTCAAAAGCACTTATATTTCCTAAACCAAACTTCCCCTTTATTTCACATTTTTCTCTCATACTTCCTTGAATAACAATAAAGTATAAAGTATAAAGTATTTTTCTGTTCTAAACATTACACACTGTATTAGTCAATTATATTATTTTTTATTATATTGAAATTATTTGGAATATATAGACTTCTCTTTCATTTAGATTAACACTTTATCATCAGCTGGTTTTGTAAACAGGAAAACAGATGTCAGAATAAATATACCTAGTTCAGTTCCTTGGCACAACCTTCATCCATTTTGCCAGCAATACTTCTTTTGTCCTGCAGATGTCGGTATTGAGCGATACACTCCACTAGAAGTAATCTACCCATCATTACTCTCCGCCATATGTTAAAATAGCTAAGATAGCTCACTCAATGTAAAGCTATAACAGTTTTTTTATTACACATTAAAACAGCTAAATAAAAAAACTTTAAGTTTAGTTATTTTAATAAGGACTTGGATTTGGGCCCCTGATCGGCACCGGGCAAAGTGGTCTGGTGTGAACCAGGGGAAGGCCCATGGTGGATGTTGGCACAGTGTGAATTCTGACCAGTGCTCTGTCAAAGTGAAGAAATTCAATGAAGCACGGGTAAATGGCGAGAGTAACTATGATTCTCTTCAGGTAGCCAAATGCTTTGTCATCTAACTAGTGAAGTGCATTCAATTCCAGAGAGAGTTCAATTCCCACCATCAGGCTGGAGTCTTGCTGTGCTAGTCTGCATGTTCTCCCAGTGTTTCTCTCCGGGTACTCCAGCTTCCTCCCACAATCCAATGACATGGAGTTAGTGACGATAGGTTAATTGGAAACTCCAAATTGCCCATAGGTGAGAATGGTTGTCTGTGCCTATGTGTTAGCCCCGTGAACAACTGGCGACCTGCCCCTGCACCGTGCCTCTCGCCCTAAGACAGCTGGGATAGGCTAAAAAGGATAATGGCAGAGAATGGATTGATGTAGTTTAATAAATTTTTGGCAGTGACAATAAGCATGAAACAGACTGAGTACAAAAATCATTTACTGTTTAATTCATGATTATTTAGTCAACTAAAATATTTGTTCTATCAACTATGTCTGTAAATCACCTAATGTTCACTATAAATGTTAATATGTTATACAAAATTATTTTTACAGTGTAGAAGCAGAAGTAAAAGCAAAGTATACAATATGAATATTTACTAAATTAAATGCAATCTTTAGTACAATGTAAACTTATTTTATAACATCATATTTCGATATAGGATTTTCACTTCAGTAAGAGAAGAGTATTTACATCTTTATTTATTTGTCAATACACTGGCAAAAACATATTTAACTCTCCAAAATGCTGAATACATTTTTTCAACAAATTCCCAAAATAAAAGGCAGAAAGCATCATTAAAAAAAAAGGTTTAAGATTCCTGAAATAAAATTTAGTATAAACAGCAGTAACAAGTGGGCTGATTCTTTTTGTTTATAGCGTTTTCTAATTTCAGCTTTACCTAGAAAAAAAAAGTGGTTTTCTATTAGTTTCCACAGAATCCAAATCCAAAAATACTCTTAGCTTCACCAGATGAAATTTGCAACTTAGTGTTGGCCTAAGTTGCAGAATTTCTCATTTCGACCATCAAAACAGAGTTTTCTGGGAATTCTGTTTGCGGGACAGCAGAGGCTTCAACTTTTTCATTTTTCTTTTTCTTCCAAGTAAAGTAGATGGAAATCCCAATTAATAAGACAATTACCACGACTGCTCTCAAACCACATATAGGCAAGGAAATATCTGTTCAGAGACACAAAAAACAAAAGCAAAGTTAAAGATGTGACAGAAGAGTTATCTGTTATATACTGTGGTTCATATCTACTTTTTGCTGACTCTTTATTTACAACGACTCATCACACCAGGTAGTGGCATGTATTTGATTTGTAAGATTTTCTTTTTTACATATATCATTCCAGATACCATTTCTGAAGCAACCCAAGGGGATTTTTGTTTCCTCCAAAGAGCTTTTGGTCATTAGGCAAATGTGCAAACCACTACACTATTCAGCCACTACTATGGTTCACATTAGTTAAATCCTTTTCCAGTTGTCAAAGGCTAATCGCATTCACAAATGAATGTGATTATTCAAGAATGGTGAAATAGATAACATAGATGTGTCTACTAGGAGGATGAGGGGTATCACTGGTGGATGCCACTATTTTTTGTTGATTGTGATCTTTAAGTATTGCAGGCACACAATCTAGTGTTGGGTGGTCGTGAACGAAACGGCTCGTAGGGCTGACTCTTTGAAGTGAATGATGCTGAGCAGAGGGAGAAAGGGCGGTACTTACACTTGCAGCAGCAGTAGCACATGAACCGAGCAGGAGGGAGAAAGAGAAAGAGAGCCAGGGGCAACATCGACACATTAGAAAGTTATAGTGAAAAAAATGAGTGACACCAAGAAAAGATGCAAAATCTGGAACCATTTCAATTTTATTGACAATACAAAGGTAGAGTGTAGAGTCTGCAAGAAAAGAATATCATGTAGAGCCAGCTCCACAAACAACCTGCACAGGCACCTGAGAACTGTCCACCAATCAGTGCAATGAGAAGATAAAACACAGTTAGATGAGTGTGATATTATTGAAGATGCTTTTTTTTTTGTTTTGTTTTGCATATTTGAATCTATATTTTATTGTGTTGTGGTTTGCAGTGTTTTGTGATGTTTCACTTTAAATTTGTTTAAAAGGAAAAAAACAGAAAATTTAAAGTAGTAATTTAAACAAATAGTTGTTTTTTGTATTTTATAATTTATTTGATATTTAACATTTATCATTTATAATTTATGTGGCGTGAATAAATAAAAGCATATGTAAATAATAAACATACATAAATAATAAACATGTTTTTCCATTAGTAATTTATTTTGTGTATAATTTTATATTGTTGTTGATAATAAATTCATTAAAGCAACAAAACAAACCAAAGAGCTGCTTGGGAGCTGAAAGAGTCAGCTCTTTTTAGTGAGCCGAGCCAAAAGAGCCAGTTCTCTAAAAAGAGGAATTGCCATCAAAACCACTGTCTGTTGTTGGTTTAAGACAGACTGTTTATGGCTGCAAGTGCACAGACAATATATTACAGATAATATAATAATTAAGTTATTTTTTTCATCGTTTTCTCACTCACCACAAGTATATATGCTCTGTTCTTTGGAGACATCACTGACATTGTTCCTGACTGAGCAGACCAGATCTCCTGAGACGTGCTGTTTCAGAGTGATGGCGTTAGTCTTAATATTTCCAGAAAGGAGCTCAGCATCTGTCAGTGTGCGTCCATCCAGAGTCCAGCTGTACTGAGGACTGTCCCCTCCCTCAGAGGAGCAGGACACCCTCCTCTGTCCCAGGAATAGACACTCAGAAACCATCAGGACAGAGGTCACAGGAGCTGAGAGAAAAACACAAAGATGACTTTTGATATCATAATAAGATGCACTTTCATGCACTATGTGCCTCGGCACTTGATGCCCCTAATCTCTCACATGGTCTGCCACTTGGCGCTGAGTTTCTGTAGCTACTGAAATCTTCCACTTTGCAAAAATATCACTTACAGTTGGTTATGGAATATCTTGGAGAGAACAAATATCTCAAAATAACTTGCTGCAAAGGTAGTATCCTGTTACAGTAACATACACAACCTCAGTGAGCTCATTAGAATTATTCATTAATTCACAAATGTTTGTAGAGGCAGAGTGCATGGCTAGCTGTTTGGTTTCATACATCTGTGTCAATGGAACTGAAACCAGCTGAATTCCAAGATTAAGAGATGTGACCCAATTGCATTTATCAATTAAAGTCTGTATTTCCCAACATTTACCTTGAATAAACAAATGTAAAGTCCGCTCGCCTGAAGATCTTCCATGTGAATCAAAGGTTTGAAGGGTATAATCACCACTGTCGTTCCTGCTCAGGTTATTGATCCTAAATTTTCCATTACTGGGAAAAAAGCTAGATCTATGTACTATGGTATTAGAAATAACCTTATTATCTCTCACATATAGTAAGTTTAATGAATTATTTAACAACCAGTATCTAGGTATTTCAGAGCTGCTGTCCATCAGCTGGATGTCCACATTTCCTCCCAAAGCTCCATAACACTGAGCTCCATCCTGTCTGCCATCACAGTAAGTTCTCACACCTGCAAAATTTTGAAACATTAAAAAGAAAAACATATATGATTCATTAGTTTCTGTTTAAGTGAGTCCAAACTCACTTAAACACACCACAACAAGGCTGCCAAGGTTCATAGTGAGCTAAGAATTTACCACTTCCACTAAAACTGGTAAAAAGACAAAAACAGAATGAAAGCTCTGTTCAAATGGTCACGTACTGAAGATGTAGCCAATAGATTCTTACATTAATATATTAAATAAAAAATTAAAGTACACAAATCTTACTTTCTTGTATTTGTGGTGCTTTAATTTCCCTGAGGACCGAGTCAGATATTTTGTATGGTTAAAAAGCTAGGTTCACTTGTTGGTTTAATACACAAGGTTCTATTGGCTTCATACACCCACCCTGACACCTGTGTCCCATTGATTGAGGTGCAGTTGATGAAAATAAAGCCTATCCGTAAAAACATATAATTCATGAATAAATGTACAAAGTGACCATAATAAACAAAGTCATGATATTGTTTTATCAAAATGTTCTCACTCACCACAGGCAGATATCTTCTGTTCTTTGGAGACACTATTGACGTTGTTCTTGACTGAGCAGACCAGATGTCCTGAGATGTGCTGTTTCAGAATAATGATGTCATCCTCATTATTTACAGAAAGGAACTCAGCATCTGTCAGTGTGCGTCCATCCAGAGTCCAGCTGTACTGAGGACTGTCCCCTCCCTCAGAGGAGCAGGACACCCTCATCTCTCCCTGGGACAGACACTGAGAGACCAGCAGGACAGAGGACACAGGAGCTGAGAGAAACACACACAGATGAGTTTAGATACTATAATAAGATGCACTTAGATACACTGTGCTTCCTTCTGTGTAACTTTACATGGCCTGTAACTTGGTGGCTGATTTTCCATAGTAGCTAAAATTTTCCACTTTGCAGTTATTTGACTTACAGTACATCGTGGAATATCTAAGAAGGAAGACATATCTCAAAATGACTTGCTGCAAAGGTAGTATCCTGTTACAGTAACATGCACATATTCAGTGAGCTCTTTAGAATTGATTCATTTACTCACAAATGTCTGTAGAGGCAGACTGCATGGCTAGGTGCTTGGTTTCATACATCTGTGTCAATGGAACTGAAACCAGCTGATTTGAAAGATTAAGAGATGTGGCCCAATACTTCGGTGAACGTAATGTGCATCATGTAGGTTATTAGCATTATTTATGGCTAATTCATATGCTAATTCGAAACAGGGGATGCACAAAATATACGTATCTGAAATTATGTATACTATATTATAAAGATATCTAAAACAATATTACATTTACATCAATTAAAGGTTGAATTTCCCGATGTTTACCTTGAATAAACAACTGTAAAGTCCACACGCCTGATAATTCTCCATCTGAATCAAAGGTTTCAAGGGTATAATCACCACTGTCTGTCCTGCTCAGGTTATTGATCCTAAATGTTCCATTACTGGGGGAAAAAAGAGATCTGTGTTCTATGTTATTAGAGAGAATCCTTTTATTTCTCACATATAGTATTTTTAATGAATTCTTTAACAACAGGAATCTCGACATTTCTGAGGTGTTGTCCATCAGCTGGATGTCCACGGTTCCTCCCAAAGCTCCATAACACTGAGCTCCATCCTGTCTGCCATCACAGTGAGTTTCCACACCTTCAAATTTTAAAACATTAAAAAAGAAAAACATTTGTGATTTGTTAGTTTCTACCAAATAAATGACAATAAAAATTAGAATAACATTGTCAGCAAAACAAAATTTACTGATGTGAGGACTTTTACTTGTTAAAAAGTATTTTTTTGTATTACCATGTTTATACTTAATATCAAATTATGTTTTGGATAACCCAGTGTTTTAATTGAATTGTATCAAATTATTTATAGTAGCACTACTGCCATAAATCTGTCAGCTCTTAATATTTAACTCAGAGTAGGTAGCAGTTTTGCAATTTGTAGGTAATAGAGGCTCAAGAACAAAATTCTGCATCTATAATCCCAAAGTTATCACACACGAATGTGTCCAACCTTTACTAATACATTAGTAAATAAGAAATACAGGTAGACACATTTTAGACAAATGCAAAAACTAAAGTATTTTCATGTGAAAAAAGAAAAGAAATGGGTGTTTGTCAAAAAGAAAACAGGAACCCATATTTCAGAGAAAAGACTGCACAGGACAGAGTTGTCCATTTCTGAAGGTGGCCTTATAAATTAAAAAGTAATGCAACCGATACATTCTTCAGCATATCAGTAGTCACGGCATGACATAAATAACTTAAGATATGGATTCCTAGAAACAGCCAATCAATAAGTTGAGACACATTCTTTAAAATCAGACAGTCCATCAAAGTAACAAATAAGTTTGATGTCTCTGATAAGGATGGAAAGAATAAAGTCCTTTAAAAAGCCAGAACTCACTTAAACACACTGCAACAAGGCTGCCAAGGTGCATAGTGGGCTAAGAATTTACCACTGCTACTAAAACTGGTAAAAAGACAAAAAAAGGAACTAAAGCTCTACTCAAATGGTCATGTACTGCAGATGTAGCCAATAGATTCTTACATTAATTTAATAAAATAAATCAAAGTACAGATATTGTAATTTTGTGTAAGTATTTGTGCTGCTTTAACATCTCTGTGGACGATGTCAAATATTTTGTACAGGTTAAAAAAGTATTAAATAATGAGTGCCACATGTAAAAAGAACAGCTCACCATGAGACACTCCCAGGAGAATTACCATCAATCCCAGCACAGCTTCCATGTCTCCTCACTGTTCAGTGTGTTTCTTTATTAAATACATGCACATATGTCCAGCAGTTAACAGTCAGAAATGGCTCCTGCTACTGATCAGCTTCTTTTAAAAAGCCTCTCACATTAGAAACGGAAGCAAAACCAACATACCAAAAACTCAACAGAAAGACTGTTCTCACTCTGTGTGTGAAAATGTGAAAAAGGAAGTACAACTAGCATGTTCATTACTTTGCAGATTTTTTTTTTTATTATTATTACTCACACTGTCACTGGACTATTTTTAGTCTGTAACAAACTAACACTATCCTGCCCATCACTCAGTGTCTACCACAATGTCATGTTCAACAGCAGCCCCATGTATATTCCATCTTAAGTCCATATTTTGGTAATACACACATCAATGAAGAAAAAAACACACTTTTAAATAATATCACAACATAATATCACGTTATTACAATATACATAATTATCACGTTATAACAAAAACCTTTCATGTTCGTACAATATAAATATTATATTGTATGAACGTGATAATTATGTATATTGTAATAATGTGATATTATGTTGTTCAAACGTGGACTGCCTTCCACGTGTATTGACAATGTTCAATTTAAGGCTTTTTACTGTGAGACCAAGCTGGGGCCCTGAGGAACTAAAGCACTGGCTGCGTTGGATCCAGAGGCTGAGTCGGAGGTCTCAGTTTGCACTGGATTACTAGAGGTGAAGAAAGAAAAACACTTTTAAAACATTTAACCCTTTAAGACCTACCATAGAACCAAGTCCGCCAGAGCTTATAT